TATTTTACACCACGATTAAAGATATTCTCGGATGTGACGGACTATTAAGTCTTGACATTGGATATATATCTCAATAATCAAAGTTTTCAAGAATTTTAATTAGAAGAATATTAGGATAGGTACTTTTATAACGTTACAATTTGAAAATAAAAATCTATTAATAAATACCTTTGCACATGGATAAGAAAATTGAAATGCTTTAAGGGGATGAGGGGTTTATTAGGTCCATTTTCTTTTGATGCAAAGAGTTTGTATTTATATTGGAACGCGGAGGTTTGAGTGGTACAAAAAGTCTTAGATTTGACTATGAGAAAATTGCTTTTAATTGGAACTCATCCCGTAAAATAAAAAAATAAAAAATAAAAATAAACCACCTCTTTCACCTCATATTATTTAAAAGCAATTCATCACTAGTGAAAGAACCATACATTTGTTGAATTGTTGATCGAACTCAAGAGGTATTTGTTGAGTGATAAGTGCACATTATGTACATATTTGAACTTCTATACTTGCTTATGTTATTGCTAGTTGAGTAGATATTAACCTATTAAGTTTAATTATGTTAAATGTAATTAGTAAAATCCAAACTTGGATATAATTGGCGTGAAATGAGCATTTTGGACCTTAATTGGGATTGATTCGGAGAAAATTAAAGATTAATCGGAGTGCCCATGATCAAATAGAAGAACTAATATAGCGTTCAAAAGAAATTCACAGATTTTGGGAGTTAAATTCAACAATTGAAAAGTTTGAGGATTAAATTATAAACTTTTAAAAATTGCATCGGATAATTATTAATAATTTTGGAATTAGGATTAAAATATGAAAATTAGAAGATGAAGGACCAAATATGCAATTAGAAACGAACTCAATCCGATCCAATAGGAGAAGTCAGGGACCAAAAATGAACAATGAAGAGAACTTGTGCCTTGCAATCGCAAGGTAAAAGCTCCTACTGCCACAAGGGCTATACATGCAGAAGCAAAAAGTAAACTGGCCGTTCCATGCGATCTCAGCCCAATGGTGAAATCCGAGCTTCCCGAATCTCTTTCTTATTTTAAAACAATCTTTTTATGAAAAGCAATTAGGGCACGATTTTTTACATAATATTGAGGCCTATTTACTACATACTTTCATCAAACAACTAAAGAAAAGTTTTTGGAGGATTCAATGGACAATAATCATCCAAGGCAAAGGATGCTCTTATTCTCGCTTGGAGCTAGTACAAAGATCGACCTCCGCAAATTGCACTGACGGAAGGTGACACGGTGAGGTGAGATATTATAAATCTTAAGTGCCCTTATTATAAATTGAATTGTCTAAAAAGACAATAGCAGTAAAAGCAATACTTATAAATAGATCAATTTACAAACTTCTCTAAATAGAATCCGCACTAAGAAAAGCATTTGCTATTAATTGGTTATTAAACCCCTTTGACAACATCTTAAGTAGAAATATATCATTCAAGTTAATGCTAAATTGTAACTGCAAACTATGTTAGACCTCTTTCTGGAATGGATCAATTTGATTTGAATGAACCTATGCAAGGGTTGTGTTTCACATAATCAGAGCATCTTTAATGGTGGTGTAAAATTGAGTGTAAATTGGTATCTTTAAAATTACTTTTGCATACTTATTTACATCACAACAGATGCAAATTCGAAGTTTGTTCCAATGTGAGGTATAAGTTCACTTTTTGCCTCTTGTGAATGTAAAAAAAGATATGAATTCACCTTTTTTTTTTTTTCCCTTTTTGTTGAAAAATTTAATTTGCATTTTCTTTATACCTCTCAATTGAAGAGATTTTTGACCACTTCAAATATGCAAATCACAATTTAGATCTATTTTACACCACGATTAAAGATATTCTCGGATGTGACGGACTATTAAGTCTTGACATTGGATATATATCTCAATAATCAAAGTTTTCAAGAATTTTAATTAGAAGAATATTAGGATAGGTACTTTTATAACGTTACAATTTGAAAATAAAAATCTATTAATAAATACCTTTGCACATGGATAAGAAAATTGAAATGCTTTAAGGGGATGAGGGGTTTATTAGGTCCATTTTCTTTTGATGCAAAGAGTTTGTATTTATATTGGAACGCGGAGGTTTGAGTGGTACAAAAAGTCTTAGATTTGACTATGAGAAAATTGCTTTTAATTGGAACTCATCCCGTAAAATAAAAAAATAAAAAATAAAAATAAACCACCTCTTTCACCTCATATTATTTAAAAGCAATTCATCACTAGTGAAAGAACCATACATTTGTTGAATTGTTGATCGAACTCAAGAGGTATTTGTTGAGTGATAAGTGCACATTATGTACATATTTGAACTTCTATACTTGCTTATGTTATTGCTAGTTGAGTAGATATTAACCTATTAAGTTTAATTATGTTAAATGTAATTAGTAAAATCCAAACTTGGATATAATTGGCGTGAAAAGAGCATTTTGGACCTTAATTGGGATTGATTCGGAGAAAATTAAAGATTAATCGGAGTGCCCATGATCAAATAGAAGAACTAATATAGCGTTCAAAAGAAATTCACAGATTTTGGGAGTTAAATTCAACAATTGAAAAGTTTGAGGATTAAATTATAAACTTTTAAAAATTGCATCGGATAATTATTAATAATTTTGGAATTAGGATTAAAATATGAAAATTAGAAGATGAAGGACCAAATATGCAATTAGAAACGAACTCAATCCGATCCAATAGGAGAAGTCAGGGACCAAAAATGAACAATGAAGAGAACTTGTGCCTTGCAATCGCAAGGTAAAAGCTCCTACTGCCACAAGGGCTATACATGCAGAAGCAAAAAGTAAACTGGCCGTTCCATGCGATCTCAGCCCAATGGTGAAATCCGAGCTTCCCGAATCTCTTTCTTATTTTAAAACAATCTTTTTATGAAAAGCAATTAGGGCACGATTTTTTACATAATATTGAGGCCTATTTACTACATACTTTCATCAAACAACTAAAGAAAAGTTTTTGGAGGATTCAATGGACAATAATCATCCAAGGCAAAGGATGCTCTTATTCTCGCTTGGAGCTAGTACAAAGATCGACCTCCGCAAATTGCACTGACGGAAGGTGACACGGTGAGGTGAGATATTATAAATCTTAAGTGCCCTTATTATAAATTGAATTTTCTTATGATTTATATTGATATTTGAGAGAAGGAATATGAATTGTCTTATGATTTATATTGATATTTGAGAGAAGGAATATAAATTTGGCACGGACTAACGATTATTGTGAAGTTCGATAGAAGATAGAAATATATCTTTATACTTTATATATCATTTTAAATGTTCTTGTGATTTAATGCATCGATGCATGTTTGTATACTTCGTATAAATATAGGAGGGTAATCACATGAGAGATTAGTAAACAAATTAGAAACATTGATCTTCATATCCAAATAAGTGTTGTCAAATAATAAAATTGGTCTTATTTGGATGAATGCAGGGGGATTCTAAGCCCCTGTTTGGCTTCCATTATTTGAATTTATAATGGGAGGAATAATATTTTTTTGAAGATTGTGTGGTTGAAAAGTTTTAGATTTGAGTGTAATATTATTTTATTGAAGATTATGTGATTGAAAGTAGGAAAGGGAAAAATTAAATTAAATTAAAGAGTTTTAACGGGGGCTAAGTCTCAGTGTTTGTACAACTACTTGAATCTCATAACGCTTCCCATAAGTCATTGGTTAATTAGTTAGATTAATTATAGATTTTAGGTTGTTAATATATAAATTCTTCCAAAATCTTACTATTCGATCAAAGTTAGGTTAATTAAAACTAAATTAAATACTCGTAACCTTGTGAGAAAGATAACTTACTCATTCTCATTACTATGATATAGCACACTTGCAGGATTTTAACAAAACAAGTTTTTAACATCATTATCAGTAACTATAGTTATTTAGTTATCTCTATCGTCAATTTGAATTTTTATTTATTATTCTTGCTATTTTTCCTGCTGAGCTACTTACTTTCTTTATTTTATTGACAGAGAATTCTAATAAGCAAAAGGCCAGCAACAAATTGAGATGTGAGATCCCAAAATTTATGAAGGCTACATGACTTTTGGGCGCGGGGGGGGGGGGGGGGGTGTGCCCCCCCCCCCCCAGGTCCAAAAAAAATTTTTTAAGGGGGGGGGTTCTTTGCCACTCACCACTTTAAAATGAAGAAATATAATGCACTTACCAAAGTTGACGAGTATAACCGGCCATTAATGGGATTATCGGAATTCCAAATACCAGATAAAAAATAAAAAAATAAAAAAATAAAAATCTTTACACGATGATCCATATGTGAAAATTGATTAATATAACATGATTATAAGGATTACATCGCCATGCAAAGGCTTACAGAAAAATAAGCTACAGAAGGCTTACAGACACTCACATGAGGGCAGACCTCATGTGAATTAAAATATTTCAAAAATTAACTCGCCCACTCCTGCATATGTGTATTCTGTACATTTATTTTCTATACGTGTAACTTGGCTGAAATTCGAATGATCCTAACAACACTCAATAGAAAGCTTTAATGAGACTAGCATACACTACATTTCATTCATGCATAGGACTAACATGTATATATCAAAATTTTGGAAAATGAAATTGGTCAATTGGCTAAAGTGATCTCCATAGACAATCCGAGTAAACAACTAAAAAAAAAGGAGCGTGTAGAAATGGAGAAACAAATCAAAACATAGCCAGATAAATTAGTGACATTCAATGAATATGATATTAGCGCGCAATCATCCGAGTTCATTGATTCGTGATTAAAGTCGAGGAAAAAGTTGGAAGTATTCATAGCTGAGGTTGAATTGGATAATGTAGGGAATTCATAATAAAGGCGAAGTAGAAGATTGGGAGAATATGAAGTTTGGTTTTTTACGTTTTTTGTTGATAATCGTGGCTTTTTCAACTATTTGAAATGCGACTCTACGATCGCTACTGGAGAGAACACCACCTCGCAGTCCTAAAGAGTGAAGACCTTGCATATATCCGGGAAAAATATCTCCGATTCGTCTCTCTCTCTCTCTCTCTGCAGTTTTCTACAGGGCTCCGAGGATCTGATGGATCGTGCACAGTTGCTATTGGTGGGGCTACCCCTCTTCCTCTTCTGCTCGGACATCGTCAGCCTCTTTTCTCCGCCGCCTGCTAAACCCGCCACCACCCCCCTTCACCACCATCACCATCACCACCACCAGTCAAATTCCCCGCCACTGATCCAACAACAGCAACAACAGTCGTCCCTCGAGTTCCCGTCTCAGGTCAGAAGATGCTTCAATTAGAATAAAATCAATTCTTACCTGCTACTAGATTTACAAGAATCAAAACCCTATTTTCCTTTTTGTTTATTTTTATTAATATATGTGTTTTTGCAGAAAGCTAGTGGGATTGGCATTGGAAATACTGTCAAAATTGACTTCTGTTCCTCTTGTTCTTATAGGTATTATGACTGTATCTTTCTCATCGGCGTTGTTTCATATTATATTTATTTTTTGTCAATTTCTATTTTTTCTCGACTTTCTTTCCTAGTCCTGTGCGTTGATTGGATTAGCACTTATCTTAGTTTTATATAAATCTTGATTTTCGACTCATTTAATTATATAAGATGGAGTTTATGGTTATTGATTGAGAGGTATCTTTGAGCATTTATTGATTTCCCTATCAACTGTTGCTGGCTGGATACGGAAGAAAAAAAAAAGAAAAGAAAAAAAGCATACAAACAAATGCTTGTAATAAACTGTAATTCATCTTCACAATTTATCGTAAAACAAATTAATAAAATCTAAAGTTTAACTTGCAAACGGATATAAAATAGACCAATATGGTAAATAATAAGTTCTCGATAGTAGTCGTACAGGGTTAAATGGAATGGGGTCACCCTACTTTGAGTGAGTTGCATCTAGGTCTTTTTGAGCATATTATTGGTAACAAAACTGTTTTCGGCTCGAAAGTAAAAAGTTTGCTCTAGGACAAAATGGAAGGGGAAAAAATGTGGAATTTTTGGCATAGATCAATAATTATTTTGGAGCAAGTTATTGGTTTCATTAACAACTTTTTGTGGATCAGAATTGAGACTTGTGCATAGATCAGAATTGAGACTTAATGCAAAGGGCAAGACAGGGAAAATGAGGGCAAGAAAACAAGACTGAGATTACAAATAATAACAATAACAACAACAACAACAATAAAAATAAAAATTAGAATTTAAGCATATCAGAAGTTTCTACAGTGTAGCTTTTATTTGTCTTTTTATTTGTATTTGGTACATTTATACCATTTTGATTTTGGCAGAGGAACTGCAGTGACGATGAAGAATATGTTAGAAACTCAGTATCCTGGCATCAATGTCATTCTTGCAAATTACCCTCCTCCACTTCCAAAACGTTTGTTAAGCAAACTGGTACCAATTGTTCAATTTGGAATGATTGGTATTATAGTGGCCGGTGAACAAATTTTTCCAAGGTTGGGCTTTGCTGTGCCACCTTCCTGGTACTATTCTCTGCGTGCAAATAAATTTGGAAGTATGGCAAGCACTTGGCTACTTGGAAATTTCGTTCAATCCTTTCTGCAGAGTTCTGGGGCTTTTGAAGTATACTGTAATGATGAATTGGTAATGTTCATTTCTCTTTCAGAAATAACATCTTTTGACTCATTTGATCTTTTCTTATTTTTTGTTTTTGCTAATATATTTCTCCATATCCGCACTGATTTTTTACTCTGGAAATGTGTTATTTACTGGGAAACTGTATTAACAGTTGTTGCTTTGCCATTTTGCTTGTCATTTGTGTAAGTTGGAAATTGAGTTCAAGGGAAGAATAGTGTACTGGTGGCAGAAAGGATAGAATATAATTATTTGATGGATATCCTTAATTAAGATTGAACTATAATTCTGGTGTTCAAGCATACAATAGCCTCTGTTTTGCTCCATTAATCCTAGCTATGTTTTAGATTTTAGACTTTCTGTACATATTATCTTACTGGGGATGGTATTATGTTTACACCTTATTTATCCGATCATGGTATGCTAAACTTGTAACCGCAAACTATTCCATCATTTATGGTTCAGCATGATTCTTCTGATCGGTCAGGGACTTAAATGTGTGTAACTTTGTTCTCTGTGATTGGAATGGTGCTTTTTCTGGTTAATTTTTTTCTGTCCCAATAATTGGAAAAATAAATAAATTATGAAGCAACATTATGTAATTTCTGGCCTTTTCTAATTTGAGTTACTTTTACTAGCATGCACTTCTCACGTAAAGCACTGGAAGTACTTTTACCTGTATCTTTTTAGTGCCCTAAAGTCAGTTGTGAAGAGTAAGATTGCACGATTTTCAGCTTCTTACACTACAACGATTTAGTGCACTACCAGTTCATGAGAATTGACTTGGAAAACAACTAAAATCAGGTGTATCAACTAAGCTGATCTCTATTGTATTGTATCGTTATAGTTATTTGGAAAATACTTGTGGTAAATCACTACTAACATAATCCTTTACGAGTAGTACTATTTGTAGTCGATAACTACAGTAGTCGCCCTACGTGGCATCCGACTTGTAATTGTTTCATTATTAATATGGAAACCCATTTATATTTTTAATTATTAAAATCATGATACATAGGATTCCACGTAGGACGATTGCTATAGTCACCCACTATGAATAGAATTATTCATCTTTTATAGATTGATGAGATGTAAAAAAAAGTGGAGAAGTTTTTCTTTTTATTTGGTTGATAAGATTTTGACCAAATCAAATCTCACGACATCATTTGCTAGTAAACAAATCTGTAAGTAGTGATGTACATATAGCACAACTGTAATTATTAACTAGTTCTCTTTTAAGATATATAGTAGGCATCCTTCTGCATGTTTTTACTTAACATGGAAGGAGTGAGATGTTAGCTGATGATATGAGTAGCTGAAACTGATGTTAAAAAGGTAGCATGAAGGAAAAGGAAAAGTTTGAGAAATGTTGACATGATCTAAATTTAATCTTTTTTTACAACTACGAAGATATTAGGCCCTCTATCCATTTAACATGTTTCAGCTTCATGATCGGAATACAAGAGTTTATACTGGGGGCTTGTCAGTCCACAACCTAGATATTTATAGACAACTTGATGGCAAGTGTGGTTTTTTATCTTTGGACAATTATACACTGAGGTCTTTATGAGCCCATTACTGACATATTCGCATATACCTTCGTGTGAGGTGCTCTCTATTTTAATCCTTGGAAAATGGCAACCATGAAGCCTGGTGTGTAACTACTATTAAGTGGATTTACTTTTCTCTTTAGGGGGTTGGTGCACTTATATCTTAATCTTTTTTTTTTTATTTTTTAATGACGGGGAACCCATAGCCGCTACCCTTCGGATGCGTACTGGGTAAACCCTCGGGCTGACGCAATAGTCTGCAAACCACGCCAGCTAGGTAAACCGCACTAGACAAGTTCGGTGCGGTGCGACAAGCTTGACTGAAAAAGTATTGGTAGGGGGAATCAAACTCGTGACCAAAAACTTCTGCGCTCACCTACTCCATCAACTCAGCCACCCCATGAGGGGCCACTTATATCTTAATCTTGCTTGTACATAAAATAGCTGCATTGCATTGCCATTCAATCCTATCCAATCCAATCCCCTCGCCTATATGCCTACATAATCATTGCTGTGTGTATCGATGTATTTAAGAAATTCATTATTGCTGATCCTGAATCCTTACGGTTTGATATATTCACGTGTCCAACACGTTTATGTTCACGAAGAGGATTGGCTTGAAACCAGTATGCTCGTGGAAAATAGTAGGGGAAAGATGTGAAAGTCTATTTGCTTTTCTTACCAAGTTTAGTTTATAGCACGTTATTTCAATTTTTGCCCTAATATATCTGTAACGCTATCTTTGTTTGGTGCAGGTGTTCTCTAAACTCAAGGAGAACAGATTCCCCGGGGAAATCGAGTTGAAGGACCTTGTTGGGAGAAGGGTTGCTAATTCAAGAGTGATAGATGGTGAATACTGGTCCTGAAAGGAAGGGTGTAATAGTTAAGTAGGAGTATGTTTCTTGGATTTCTAGTTTTAGTTTTACTTTTCAATGCAGTGCTGTGATTTTATTTTAACCTACTTAAAATACAGTTTCTAGAAAAATAAATTATAATAGCAGCTGAACTTCATTCCTATATAATTGATGCTGGCTTTGTGAATTCTTTTCATGAGGGCACTAAAGTACTACCATGCTTAAATTGAACTATTACACGTTTTTGTTTACTTATTGGATATTAATTTATATGTTTTTGTGATGTGTTATTAATATTTTTTGGGTAAAAAAAAGAACATGTTTAAATTACCAGATTAAACTCGAAACTTATCCAATGTTTAATTTTCGGCTTACAAGTCCATCAAGCTGAATTAAGTTGATTTAATTTTCGCTAGTGTGTTAAGAATATATATGGACATGAATAATTTAATTGGACTAATTAAGGGAAGCAATAATATTTTTATATCACAAATATGAGCCACAAATAAAATTTATACAGCACCAAAAAAAAAAATTAATCAATTTATAATCCTACGATTCTAATTGGGTTAAATATGAATAGGAATCCCAGTCAGACAGTCAACATTGGAAAAAAAGTTTTTTAATTAATTGTTTCCGATTCACCGGATCTTACCTCTTTTGAAAGAAGTCAATAAAAAAAAATTCAAGATATGCACTAATTTAAATAGAATTTTCTAACCGGATGATTATGAATTATTTTTATTTGATAGAATATTCAACCCGTAGATAAAATCTCAAATAATGGAATTTTACCGATGCCAACTTGGGCATGGGGATGTAGCTCAGATGGTAAAGCGCTCGCTTAGCATGCGAGAGGTACGGGGATCGATACCCCGCATCTCCACAATTTGGGTTTCTATTTTCTGTTCATGCTGGCATCGGGAAAGTTGGGCCTCTGAAATTTTCTTCTCCATGCGGCCCATCACGTTGACTAAATTTTTCTATTTTATCTTTTTGCAGTTATTAATATATAAATTTCACATAATCCTCTCGATCGACATCCTTTTTTTATTTTTATTTTTTTAAATAGAAAAAAATGCTATTCAGACCAACTTTGTCCAATGCATAGAAATACATTATAACTTTATTTGATAATGTTTGAGTGACCTAAGTGTTATATAAGCTAATGTTGGGTATTGATAGACCTGGCATTATTCTTTCTTATATAGTAGAATAGGTTATGTGACTACAATAAAATGCATCCATAGACACTGCTTATCTCAAGAAACTAATGATGGCCAGCATTTTACACAAGGTTTTGAGAAGCTGCCTGCCAGTGTCTTTTTTCTATCCCTTTATTTCAACTCTGCAATTTCAAGACTTCATAGTTCTCGAAAATACTGAAATAATGATATGCTATTCGTCAGTATATGTGCCAATAAGATCACTGTTAGATTGTAGTGACTTCGATGTCGTATAAATTGCTGATCAATCGTCGTTAACAGTATTACTCAACTAATAAATATGCATTGTATCTAATATCTAAAGGGCATATACTCGTACAAACAAATATGAGCGTCCATCTGATAAAAGTGCTTATAAAAAACACGATTAAATTTTAACATTTACTTTTTCTTTAATTTATCTGCAATCTTTTTATTACTTCTTTCATTATTCGCATTTTTTAGCTAATTTGTTGTCAACTAACGATAATTTTGTATCACATAAGCATCTTCATTTGTCGTGTCACATGTCCACCAAAATTTCTATCATTGAATTATTAATTGATATATAAGACAATTAGGGTCCGTTTGATTGCAAAGATGGAATTTGAATGGAATGAAAACGAATTTCAGGAAATTAAATTGACTAGAAATCTTTTCCTGAAAATTGTAAATTATCGTATTTGAATGATATAATTTTTCATGTGAAAAATGTTGAAATAAGAGTGCATTTGATTGACATGAAAAATATTACCTAGAAATGAAAATATTTTCCTTCTTTTGTGAAAAATAAAAATCACCCCCACCCAAGAAAAATGTTTTTCTTAAAAACAAGGAAAATTAGACATATTTTCAGAAATTAGAAAATGTGTTTCTATGGAAAAAAATAGTAATCAAACACCTCAAGTAGAAATTTCATAAAAATAAATGTAATCAAACACACCCTAAGGGTGTGTTTGATTACATTTATTTTCCATGGAAAATATCAGTTTTCCATCCAAATTTTCACTTGGAGTGTTTGATTGCTATTTTTTTCATGGAAAACATTTTCCAACTTTTGAAAATATGCCTAATTTTCCTTGTTTTTAAGAAAAATATTTTCCTTGGGTAAATGTGATTTTTATTTTCCACAAAAGATGGAAAACATTTTCTTTTCTAGGTAATATTTTTCATGTCAATCAAACACATTCTAAGTGTTTTTTAGTATTCGTTTAGTTTTGTTTTACATGTAAATTGTCAATTTAAGGGATATCTTCTTTTACAATTGTTCATAGAATTTGATTCCATTGTAAAAATAATAATAATGATAAAAATAATAAAAAAATTACATCAACCTGAAAAATGAATTCATTTTCCTCAAAAACCAAGAAATGATGAGCATCAATTCCAACCCAAGAAAATGTTTTCTTTAGAAAATGTAGGAAATCAAACATGCAAAAGTTGGAAAATGGGAATCAAAATCCTTTTTCCATGGAAAAACACAACCAATCAAACAGGGCCTTATTTGATAAGTTCGAAGATCATCCGAAAAACTTTTAAAATTTAATAACCAATGAAAATAACAATTTGATAAGTTTGGATACCATCCAATTTCATTTTTTATTTTTTTAAGTTTAATGATCAATGAACGTATGGCTCAAACTAGGGCTATGATTTGAAAGCATTCAACTTTTTTAAAACTTATTGACCAATGAAATAACGATTTAATAAATTTAATTGCTATCCCAAAAATATTTACTCCCTCTGGTCCAATTATATAAGCTAAGTTTCCTTTTTCTTTTATCCCAAATATATGGGTCTGTTTCTTAATTTAAAATATTTTATTTTGTTCATTTACTAACATTCTTTTATTCAATTTTTCCCACTTAATATGCCAACTTTTTGAAATTATCCAAATACACACATTTTCACTTATTGAAAACATGAAACAACTCTCATTTCTTTTTTTTCAAATTAAATCATTCAAATTTTTTACGTTCCAATAATAATTTACTATTACATATTAAAAATTAAATAGGGGTAAACTCGAAAGGATCTTGGCAAAAATTAATTTTCCAATGACATTAAGGTCCCATTTGGCCCCGTTCTCACACACTGTCTCTTATTATTAGCCACACAATTTTTCATAAAATAATATTATACGCAAATTAAGAACTTTTCATTCTTTTTCAACCACATATTTCTTTAAAAAAATACTAGTTCAACCATTAAAATTTGAAAAGAATAGAAACCAAACAAGGGCTAAAGAAAAATTCTTAATTCGTGTGAAAAATGAAACAAGCCTATATAATTGAGTCAAATGGAGTAAATTTAAATAATCGATGAAAAATATTGTTCAAAACGTAATAGCCATTTGAATTTTTAAACAATAGTTTGATATGGTTGCCACTTTTAGCAAAATGTATTATTTCCTGTGTACAAGAAATAAAATTATAAAAGTTCCACAAGGCCCTCAAGGATGAGTCCCATGTAAATATTTTATTACATAAAATAAATGGAAAATTGTAACTAAAGTACCAAATCTTTCGTTTATTGACAAACTTTGTCCAAACCTTCATTTTGTGCTAACAAAGGTTCCAAACCTTTCATAAATATGCAGCCAAAGTCCAGATGGATGGAAACCATCCATTTGACCGTTAATTGACTAAGAAAAGTAAATGTTGACTTATTTTGACTAAATTGAAAAGGATAAAATAATAACTTGATAATTACCATATTAAAAAATCAAAAAATAAAAAATCTAAGAAAAAAAATTAAAAAAAGGTTTTATCTTCTTCAACCACCCCACCCCACCCTACCCTATCGTCCCGGAAATGAACTTGTTATCCAAACCACCGACAACTTCCGCATGACTTTACCACCAACCCACTTCTGACATTACTCCTCACCTGAATCTCGAATCTCGACGCCACCAACCCACTTTTGGCATTATAACAAAAAGACCAAATGTGCCAAATTTTATACCATTTTAATAACAACTTATTCTCAAGATTTGAAGCCCAACAAGAACCTATTGTTCAAATTTATCAAAATCCAACCAAAAATGAAGATCTATCAGTTAATCTCTTACCATGTACGGCAAAAGATTTGGATTAAAAAGGAAAAAATCAGAATAAATAAAAGGGAAAATTGAATAAGAATCGAGCTTTTGGGTGGAATGGAAGTGAAGGTGAAAGCGAGAGTGGGGGTGTAGTGTTGAGTTGGAAAAAGAAGGTTGGAGTGGGGAATGGTGGTGGCCAGTGGATGGCGAATGGCACCACTAACAATGGCCTGTTGCAATAAGAAGATGATGACCACATTTTCTTTCTTTCATTTTTTTTTATTTATGATTTATCTATTTAACTTATTTAATTAATAGAATAATATGCAAGTTAATATTTTGCCCTTACTAATATGGTCAAAATTGAAATCAAAGTCAATTATTTGGTCAACTAACGATGAAATGAATAAATTCTATCTATCTAGACTTCAACTGCATATTTATAAAAGGTTTAGAACCTTCGCTGACACAAAATAAAAGTTTGAACAAAGTCTATTAATAAACGAAAAGTTTAATATCGCTGCTACAATTTTCCCTAAAATAAATCACCCACCTCATTTTTATGTGTAAGTTGGAATACTTTAAATTTTTTTCCTATACACATAGACTGATTCTAGCAAAATAGATACAACTATATACACCATACATCAAAACTTTTGTGTTAAGCTTGAGCTGGCGCCGTTACGAACACATTTTATTCAAATTATAATACAAATAAAGAAATTAGTGTTATTTAAGTTGAGGTTGAAACTTCAATGGGTCAAAGATTTAAGTTGAGGTTTAAACTTCAATGGGTCAAATAACACTATTTAATGATGAATCAAATTAAATGACTCATGGGTCAATTTTCTACTTAAATTGAAATAATAAATAAAGAATTTTGAGTTGTTTAAAAGAAGATACATTATATAAAAAAAATTTAAATAGTAATTTTAATCTAAAAGGCCAAACACTGAAAATTCCAAAAAATAATGCTCAATTTCAATTGCACAATTACAATTCCATTTCTTAGAATTAAAACGGATGGCAGTACAATCATAATACGAAATACTAACCTAAATCCCACACTCAAATCCCAAACGATACAGATCTAACCACCAAATCCATAGAGGGTTCGACCCTGCCTTTTGAGTGCATATACAACATCCATTGCGGTAACAGTCTTGCGGCGGGCATGCTCAGTGTAGGTTACAGCATCGCGGATTACATTTTCAAGGAAAATTTTTAGAACGCCACGCGTCTCCTCATAAATTAGCCCACTGATTCGCTTAACTCCACCTCTACGAGCCAGGCGGCGAATTGCCGGCTTAGTTATTCCCTGAATGTTATCCCTCAGAACCTTGCGGTGGCGCTTTGCTCCGCCCTTTCCCAAACCTTTGCCACCCTTACCTCTTCCTGACATTTCTCTCTCTGTGTAAAAATTTGAGATGAAAGTATGCACGGTTGAAGATGGGTAGTGAGTTCACATATATATATTTGGGGAACCGGGAGTAAAAATGTTGGACAGCTGTTGGATTTGAATTGTTAATCGACGGTATAAGATTGTCATCCGCGTTAAGTTTGTTTAGGTAATTTTAAACCATTGATAAGAAATGAATCGACGGTGTACTATCTGATGTTTACGGTTAATGCGGATCATGTGCCAGATCCATTTGTTTCAATTTTAAAAGTTCGCGCTTAATATTGCAGTTTCCGCCATTCCGAGTTTCTAAAGATTGTGTTGTATCGTTGATAACCGCTATAATTTAGCTAAAATTGATTTTTTTAACAAATTTTAAAAGTTAGGCAAACATGTCTTTAAAAAATTGATCAAAATTGTGGCGTTCATGAAATATATACTTGAAATTTTTTTTTGAGAAAACGAAACAGTGCAAATAAAGTAGAAGGTTATCCCCATACCGAATACAGATTTTAAAAATCTCTTTATATTCTATTTGTTGAATACGAGAATCGATCATTGAACAAATCAAACAGTTTGATTTAATCATGGTTGATGTTCGTATGCTTGTAAAAATGATATTTAAGACTAAAATCTTCAGTGGGGGCAGGCGTACCATTCACGTGGTATACTCACAAATGCCCAGGCGCCACCTCGGTGGGTGGCCCACACACCTTGGAAAATAAAATCCACATTTCCCCAAAGAAAATATTTTCCTTGTTTTCAAGGAAAATGTGGTCATATGACCAAAAGAAGGAAAATATTTTCCTTAGAAGAAATTGTCAATCAAACAAGACAAAAATAGGAAATTAGGTGGAAAAAATCTATTTTTCATGAAAAATGTGTACAATCAAACGCACCCTAAGATTATATTACTACATCAAGGGGACTGCTAGATGCAATAAAATCAAACTTAACAAGGGAAATAAAAATGGTAAAAGAGAATCCATCCAGTAGACCCCAAATAAATACGATATATACGATATCTCTGAAACTCCAACATGAAGAAGGGGATTTAATAGACTTCACCATGAATTCCTTTAACATTTACCCTTTTCCAACCGTGGAGAAATTTTTATTAGCAATTTTATCTGCCATCTAGGAAAAAGATATTATTCATTTCTCAAAGATTTACTTTCTAGGGCATAACATCTCTTAAGTGCAAATATCTGGAATTACGTTAAGGCATGGAACTTGTTTTGGAAATGATTCTGCTACAGGAGATCGCGATGTAACCAACAATGACAATTTATCCTCCATTCCTAGTATGTTAAAGATCATAAATTAAAAAAATATATATAATTCATATTATATGAAAGATCCTAACAAGTTTTTTTTTTTTTTTAGATGAAAATATGAATGAAGTTGACGGTCAAAACGACAATATAGATCCAAGCCCAATCCACACTCCTAAGCATAATGTTGAAAGAGGAACTAACAAAGTACGACGACGACATACACAACCCAATGATGAGAGTCGCATATCCCTATCAAGCATTGCTGAATCATTTAAAAGAATTGCTAATGCTATGGAGATTCAAGCAACATTATATATGCTAAACTACATCAATTGATAATTGCTTCTAGAAAAATTACAAAGCATGAACATTGAGAAGCATTACATAATGCAAGTCATGAAAGTATTTCGATCAGATAAGAGTCTGGCTAGAGTATTTATGAGCTTAACTGATGAAGAGTTCGTGCTTGATTTGGTCTTTGAGAATATTGGTCATGATACTCCAATACTTTAAGATGGCGTGATTGGATAGTTCAACAAACATATGTAAAATTATGGTATCTATGTTAATTTGAATTGCTACTCTCGTGGTAGAGATTTTTTTTTTTTTTTCATTTTTACTTTTTGTTCTTCTATTCTATGGTGGACATAATCGCATCATTGCTTATTTGATTATCTCATAATTACTTTTCATTGGAATGGAAAATATTTAATTATCGTATATGAGTATAAAATTGAATTGGTGAGGTTGTTTTCCTTATTGTTGTAAATTTTATTGTATTGTATAACATTATTGTCAAGATACAACTTCTTTAGAAAAAGATAAGCAGAGATATTACTCAACATATTTAATTGTGAAGTGACCATTGTTTAGTACATCAAAAAATTGACTAACTAATTGTCATGGAAAAAATGACAGTTTCCGTAGAAAAATTGATAATTACCATAGAAAATAATGGTTGTCAAATAACTAGAGTTTGAAAAAATGGTTATCTCCATGGAAAATAATGGCTATCAAATACCAAAAGATGGAAAAATGCAATATTTTTTAGGTAGAAAATTAAGTCAATCAAATTCCATGTAAATGATTTCTAGGCAATTGAATTACCTAAAAAATATTTTCTTTCCACGCAAATTCTATTCTCGCAATCAAACGCACTCTTATAGTCAGATATCATGTGCACGTCGTGTAGAGATTTTCACCCAAAAAAATTCATTTTTTGACCATTATTTCATTATTACAATCGTCATTTTTGACTTCTTTACTTATGAGTGAGATCCACTTTTCTCTCTAACAGTTAAAAAATCAATTCTCATAGTTATTACGAAACATGCCTTAATGATTTAGCCTTTGTTTTGCAGTCATTTACAAATAAATTATAAATTCATTCAAAATTAAACATTGATTTTAACCATAAATTCATTACTATTACTCATTTATTATCCTTAAATTCCGTGAGATCATTATTATTCTTCCTCTAAGTGGTTTATAATTTACCAAACGGAAGATTAAATAGATGTTTACTGTTAAGTAGATATATTTATGCTCGCAACATTAAACGGTTGAATATTTTGGTACAACAAATGAAATGTTGAGAACATGGATTCCATGCTTATAAAACGTTGAGGCCCTTGGAAGAATTTACATGTATATAATTTTATCATTCATTTTTCAAGACAAAGAACTTCTTTGAGACATTAGATGCAAAGTCATAATATTTATCAAGTGATCAAGATATCAAAGAAAAATTTTGAGATTTTATTACATGCCCAACAAAGTAACACCATAGTCGCTTCAAAACACACCCAAGGTGCCCATCCAATTTTTGACCTGATGAACGCTCGAAGAATTGAATGAAATTGCAATGGTGTATCTTTGGTGGTGACACTATGTAACGCCCCGAATTTTTATAAAAATTGGAGTGTTATGAAAAACTCAATTTTCTTTTTAACAATTGCGGAACGACCCAAATAAAAAATCTTTATTTTCAACCATAATTATCAATTTAAAGTAAACAGACGAGTTTTTGAACAAATAAAACTAACAAATAATTTAGAGACATAAAAAAAATTAAATGTTTATTTTCCTTTTTCCGTGGATTCCTTTGGCAGTCCGCATCACAAATTCACCACAGTTCCAATCGACCCAGACTAATCTGAATTTTTTTTTCTTGTAAGAGTGAGTATTCAAAAACACTCAGTAAGAGATAGACAGTTTCCATACACAATTATATAACAAATAAAATTTACACTTCTTACCACTCTATTCTTATGGAGTATATCGGTAACAAATAAAATGTTTGAATACACACTGTACTTTGTAAAGTGTCACGTTTCACTCACCGTACTTTACTTTGCACCCGATTACTCACTGAACTTTTTTAAGTTACACTCCGTTGCTCACCGGCTAACTTCCGTCTCTTTCAAGCGCCTACGTGGTAAACGGTTTTACACGTGGCTGTTAAAAACTAGAACACAAAAAAAAATAAAAAAAATGCCACGCACTTAAATGACCCAAACACGTACTTAATTATTCAATTCCCAAACACGCCAATTTGAAAGCGTGATTTCAAAATCAAATAGAAGAATAACAGCTTCATCTCTCTCGTATACCACCCCAAATCGCCCAACAACCCTATCCCCCAAATCAATATCATCGAAAATGGAAGAAATAGCTTCATCTCTCTCAAATCCCAAAGTCCAAATCACCCGACAACCCTAACCCCAAATCAATTTGATCGAAAATAGAAGACATGGTAAGGGTGTTTTCATCAATTCCTTGGTATGGAGAGAACAAACACAGGTATTGCAGTAATTTTTTCATTTTTCTCCCCGATATCACTACTACTACATTGGTTGGTCCAAATAATATTGTATTGATAATATTATTCCAGTTTCATTGTGTAATTTTTGGTTAAAATCACATGCATTTGTTGTTATATTGATGGAACAAGAGGTGTTATATTTTGACGATTCTTTGATGACCATGTATAGTAAATGTGGCAGTATTGACGATTCTTTGAAATGTTTGATAAAATGCTTCACAAAAATGTGTCTTCTTGGAATGCGGCAATTTTGTGTTATGCAAATCTAAATTCCAATAAAAGAAACGGTTTTTCTAATAATAACGAATTGTGGGAATTTGTGAAGGGAATGCAAAATGAAGGATTGAAATTTGATGCATATACAATCTCTATACTCCTTCCTTTGTGCGGAGGAGATGTTAAAAATGGTAACTATAGCAAAAATGTGGGCTATGGAAGCGAATTACACTATTACATTGTAAAATATTGGTTGGATTTGTGTTCAAGCTTAGGTTCCGATGCTCATTTAGGATGTTGTCTGATTGATATGGACTCAAAAAGTGGTGGAGTTGATATGTGTAATTTTTTTATTGTCCATATGTAAAAAATTGTGAGTAGTATTGTGGCATTTCATTAAAACTTACAGTTGAGCATTCTAATAGTAGTGTTGAGCATTAGAACGAAGAAGATGCTGAAGCAGAAATGGAAGTGGCTGATTGTACGTTGTGCAGTTTTTTTGCCCATTTTTTCCTATTAATTTAATTATGTATTCATTATAATGTCAAAGTTTCATACCCATGGAACCAACCGATTACGATGGAGCTAGCCAAAAGGATGATATTGATGGCTATGAAGATGAAGATGATGAAGAAGAAAGCGAGCCAAAAGAAGATGATGATATAGAAGCTGAGCAAGCAATGGCTAATGGTAACTGTAAAACTTCTTCTGATTTTTACAAAATT